AGCTAGTCACTAGTGAGCACAGGTAATTTGCACAACAGGGGTTGTGAAGATTGTTAAGTTACACATTTTTTGAAACCATGAATCGATCAATGTTAGACCACCATTAGAAACCTGGAAGCACTGGACAGCCGTTTCGTCCTGGTATGGGACTCCTCAGCAGTGCGCATCCACGACTCCTGCACTCCACAGGATTCGATCAAGTTAGACATTAACACCGTTAGATACCGGTTCAGTGGTCTAACGGTTAGGGCGTTCGCGCACAATTCTTCGATCTAGCAAAATATTTTGTTAAGTAATGTAGTTAAGAAGAAGCACTTAGTAAATCGATTGTAAGATTTGTATTCAGGAGACTTTATGAACCAGACTGAACTCATCGTGTTTTTTTCTTAGCTAAATCTGATGATACTGTGGTGCGCGCTACTTATAAGTAGTATATGACGCGAGTGTAAACGTAATGTCTGGCAGCAGAAGATGGGGGAAGATCAAGAGTAAGGAAGAGTGGGAACACAATGGAATTTGTATGAAACACATGAATAGTGAAATGTCAGACAATGGATTGATGATGGATTGAAGATTTGCAAATTAACCGTTTACGATACGGTTTTCCAATTTTACTGAGTAACTGTAATTTTCGTTAAATACAATTTGGTTGCCCCACCTTTGTTCTCCTTCACTATAATACTACTTCACCCTGCGGTCATTTTGAAAAACGTTTATCAATAAATATTGATGACAGATAATGAAGCAAGAGGAGTACAAAGAATCAGGCTTTTAACTTCAAGTCGTACGAACTCCTAAAATGATTCCAGGCGGATATTGTCATTCTTCGCTAATGTGAACAGCAACTGAACACGAAGTTCTGTACTTTCCAATTTCTGGTAACCTGTTCAAATGATATATAGTAAAGTGGGTTCAGCATAACTAACTACCTGTGGATACAAGTTTGACAAAAATATCAGACATTCAGTCAGCTGAATAGTCTGTTTTTATAATATAAAACTTTTTCAGGCTTCAAAGGTCTGAGTAATCATGGTACTAAACAGCTGAAAACTAACAACATCAGATGACCCAACACGAGTAGAAGATGAGCATTCATCGTTCTCTATTGACAAACACATAGTTGTAACAAGCCATAAGAGTGATCTTAATTCAGTTTTTGTGGTGTTCCATAAAAGTATTCAAGGACGTATACTAAGGTTTATGAAAGCGTTGGTAAGACGAAAATTTAAACCTGCTTCATGCGTCCGAAAACGATTTTGTTCTCACACCTTAAACCTACCTTAGTAATATAGTGTTATTATCTAGAGTGATAAGTTTCACAATAAATTTCTTTCTTAACCTTAATACTCCATTTGTCTTGTTACACTTTTATTTTTTATAGATATAAATGTTCCTAATAAGTCATATGTGTGTTCATCCGATGTAATACTTTACTATATCACCTAGTTCTGATAATCTCCCTCTTCACATTACACTATCCAAATCATTAGACTATTTATTCGCTGGAATACAGTCTCATTTTCAACTATAGCTGAATTCATTTCATTGCACTCTTCGTTTTCCAACTGTGTACTAAGAAACAACTATGCTATCAGAGGTTAAAGTATTCAGGGTACTGAACCAATTATACACATATATATATATATATATATATATATATATTACTGATTGTAGCCTTTTAAGTGTTCACTCAATCTATATTGGAGAATACTGGTCAGCGGCCTATACTCACTCCATTAAGGGTAACAGGCAAAAGTAAGCAAGTAAGTAAGTAGGTAAGTAAGTAAGTAAGTAAGTAAGTGAGCGCAGATAAGTTATGGAAAACGATAAACACAATTGTACAGCCCCGTAACCCCCCCCCCACAACCAGAAAATCCGATCATCAAAACAAAAAATTTCTCATTCCTAAATTCTCTACATTTCAATTCAATTCAATAATAACTCAACAAGTAAATTAGTTTCTTTCTATTGCCTAAATAAAACAGCTCATTCACTCATTGTCAGTGTACGTGTAAAACAATTTTTAATTCATTTTAACAATGATAAAAAATTTAGTCTGAAAATGCGACAATAGAAAAAAAATTTAGTTTAATGTTTTTCATTGTAAATTACATTATTACTATTATTATTATTAGTATTATTAGTTTTAAAATTGCATTATTTTTCTCTTTTTTTTGATAAAAATGAAATGTTTCAAAATGATTTTTTTTTAAAATCATTTCATTGTTAACAAATAGTGTACATTGAAAAATATAAAAAAAACTATTTGTTCTATTTTTTTTTTATTGTCGAATAGTGATGGATGGTTAGGACAAATAATAATATTAGGATTGTTAATTGTCGTTACACAAGTGGGCATTAAATTCATTGTCAGAAAAATTCTCGAACTAAAATAAATATGTATTTGAAAAAAAATGTTTTGTACATTGACCAGTTTCAGGTAATTGATTTAGTAACACCGTTGGATGCCTGCTTAGTGGTGTAGATGTTAGGCGTCTGCGCACGAGATCAAACGTTCTGAATTCGAGTCCTGCGAGTTGCTAGAGTGATGGACGCATACAACTGATGAGTCCCATATCCGGACGAAACAGCCTTCCAGTACTTCCAGGTTTCTAATTAGGATCTAACAATTATCGATTGTTTATTTCAGTGAAAACGTTTTAGGATTCGAAACGAGTACTATGTATGGTATTGTGGGGTAGAGTTTTGGAGGTTCGTGTTTTTACACATTTGAAATCATCAATCAATGATTGTTAGACCACCATTAGAAACCTGGAAGCACTGAAAGACGACCGTTTCGTCCTGGTATGGGACTCATCAGTGGCAGTGCGAGTCCACGACTCCTGCTCCTCGCAGGATTTGAATCCAGGACCTTTGGTATTGTCCTGATGAGTCCCATACCAGTACGAAACGGCCATCTTTCAGTGCTTGCAGGTTTCTAATGGTGGTCTAACAATGATTGATTGATGATTTCAAATATGTATGGTATCAAGTATTTACGAGCATTTTTCGAGTGGATGCCATTTGTAAGAAATAAAATTTTTCACCTAGAATTTACAGTGATTTTTTAACTGTTGTTCTCGTTTTTCGCGTAGAAAGTTGGTATGAGCTACAGTGGCATAGAAAATATATGTGTAATTAGCTTTAGACAAATCAAATGACATCTCTTGTAAGCGTCATCCTCTTAAATACTACACCTAGTCAGTAAATAAGCCGGAAAATTCTTAGGAATGTTAGATATCATTACACTTTCATAGAATAATGATAAAAAGATGGTCAACCTCATACCCAATAAACACAGAATTGCATCTATTATGTGGCACAATATGAGAAGTGATATATTCCCCTCTAGGGCTACCGCCGGTCCCAAGCCTGAACAAAAGGAGAAGGATTGGGCATCCCATATATAACAAACTCCACCAGAAAAAAGTAATTCAAACCAAACTAAATTAAGAGTGAAAGGTAATCAAAATTTATGACTAGACAATGATAGCGAACAACAGAGCAAAACAACCACTAAACTTGAAAAATTATTCTATTAGTTCAGTTTATATTTTTAGTAGAACAGACTGATGAGATTGTCTTTGAAAGATGGTAAAACATTAGTAAAACATTTTTTCTAGGTAGGAAAATATTATTTCATTAAAATCATCCTACTATTAATAATTTTAGTCTTCAGATAGTTTCACAGTGCCCAATAAAAGACTAGTCAATGATCAAGTATTAGTTTTTTCATGGATATCAAATCTACCTCTGTGAATTGATGAGACCTTAATCAATGGATTGACAAAAACAAGTTGTAATGAGTCGAAATTAAAAAAAAATAGTAGTTTGTCTCTGAAAACCATCGGTAAAACTTTTATTGAAATCATGAATCATTGTTAGGTCATCAGTAGATACGTGGAGACATTGAACGGCTGTTTCGTCCTGGTATGGGACGTGATCAACCCTGTTATGTGTAGGTAGTAACTACCGAAAACTAATGGATGAGGTCAAGCAAAATCCTTAGATTGGTCAGAGTTCCACAATGACACAGATAGAGGCCGGCCCAGTGGTCAAGAATGTAAGCGTTCGCGTTCAAGAATGAAGGTTCTGGGTTCGAATCCTGCGAGTAGCAGGAGTCATGAATGTGCACTGCTGATGAGCCCCATGGTAGGACAAAACAGCTGTCTTTTAGTGCTTTCGTGATATATAAAATAAACTAATGTAAGCATTTAAAAATTGACAAATCTTCTGATACACAATAGCATATATAATTGCTGTGATTTTTACAAACGACAGAAAGTTAGTTATTAAAGATTCCCCATCGTGAAAATTGGAACAACACTCTCCAATATACTTAAATATTCATATGAATATGTTAAACCAATCAAAGTTATGTAGTATGAAATAAATGTGACTTCAAAAACGATTTTAAAAACATTTTTATTTGATTTTTGTTATCAATAACATTATTTTCACAGCTTGTGTATGTTTGTAATTTTTCGCCTCTAACCGTTTATATTCTTCACATTTCATATTTATTAGAGAGTCACTGACAATAGGACAGAGGCATGTTGGTAAGTGTAGACTACCTGGTCTGGGTCCATGAGGTGATAGTAACTGATGGTTAGAGACCTTGAATGACATGGATCAAACTGGTTTGCAATGGTACAGGTACATCCACTCTTTATGTTCTCTCAAATCCTGATCTTCTGAATGCCTCATCACCTCTATCTTTATTTCACTAGATTCTACTTCTTGAATAATATCTTCGAACTCTATTCTTTCCGATTACTGCTTCTGTTTTAGCTATCTCTAACACTATAGAATTTAAACGGACAATTGCATCTCCGTGATATGTACGTACGTATGTACGAAGTTCCATGTTGTTGCTGACTGACTGTTGACTGTAGTGTATTAGGGAATAGAAAGCCCTAATGAAGAGTTGATTGAAAATTTTATTGTCATTGGTTCAAGATTCTATTGATCCACTACTTCTAGATAGACAAAACAATGAACTAACTATTTTCAATGGAGAATAATTTTGTTTTTTCTATACCAGAATGTAATAGACCGGAAGAAAAATCCTTTGAACAAATAAAAAAAATTTACATTCGCGTAATTTTTTTTTGTCAAAAGTGAGACTAATTATGTCGTCGAATCTTCTTTTTTTTTTCTAAAAAGAAACGGTATTTTTCGATTGAATTACCATATTTTTTTTTTAAAAAAAGTTACTTCGATTAAAATCTCTCTCTTGTATTTTAATTCTATTTTTTTAAATAGATTTAATGAATATAGGTAATTTTATATAGAGTACTAGTATTTTTCCGCGGTTGTTAACAGAAAATATTAGAGGTTGCAAATTATTGCATTATGAGCAGATTGACTTGACAGAGATTTGCATGTCTGGGATCTACTACTTGTCAAATAGATATTGTTGTATCAGACTGTTAACACATACACTGTGAATCTGTTCGCCGCAAGCGCTAATTTGATGTCCAGTGAACTACTGAATCGATATGATCACTTGCTTGTTAAGCAAGTATAAAGTTGTTATCGGGTACGCTGTAGATCAATGAGAAGCATATTTGGCGCTTTTGTGCTGCAGTTACAGTATTAACATGAGCACTGAACTGCAAGAACATCCAATTGAAGAGTTGGAAATGCGATAAAATTAGCATCGCAGATTTCACTAATATTATTTCATATATATAAAAGTGTGTCCGATGGACAGCTAGAATGCAGCTGAACGATCTAGACTTCGAAGATGACCTGACTCCTCTATCTCATACGCAACAGCAAATGCAAAAGAAGACGACCAGTGTAGCAGCAACCTAAGCAGCTACAGTTCTCAACATACATAAAGGAAAAAGTAAGATTTTCCGATACAGCGCAACATGCACCAACCAAATCACTCTTGATAGAGATTCTTTGCAGGATGAAAACACCTTTAAATACCTCGGCAGCATCATTGACGAGAAAGGTGGATCCGATGAAGATGTGATGGCGCGGATTGGCAAAGCAAGGGCCGTTAAAAAATATCTGCAACTCCAAACAACTTTCAACCAAAACCAAAATCAGCATTTTCAATACAAATGTCAAGACAGTTCTACTGTATGGAGCGGAAACATGGAGAACTACCAAAGACATCATCCAGAAGATGCAAGTATTTATGAACAGTTGTCTACGCAAAATTCTTCTGATTCGTTGGCCAGACACTATCACCGACAACCTAATGTGGGAGGGAACAAACCAGATTTCAGTGGAGGAGGAAATCAGGAAGAAGCGGTGGAAGTGGATAGGACACACACTACGAAAAGCACCTAACTGCATCACAAGACAAGCCCTCACATGGAATCCTCATTTTCAAAAGAGAAGTGAAAGCCGAAGGAACACATTACGCCGATATTTGGAGAAAGATATGCGAATAATGAATAAAAATTAGACAAAACCTAAAAGGGAAGCCCAGGACAGAGTTGGTTGGAGAAAACTAATCGGCGGCCTATACTCCTATGAGGGTAACAGGCGTAAGTAAATAAGTAAGTAAGTAATGTATAAAATTAGCGCATGTAAAGACTTCCATATTAAGTATAGAATAATCATGAGCGATAAGTTTAGAATCAAAAAGAATTAATTTAAATCGTATTTCATCAATCTGAATGTATTGTTTCTGAAGAAGAATCTGATAAAAACCAGTTTAAAAAAAGACAGCAAAATTTATATTTCCGAAATCGATGCTCATTATTAATCGGAAAAACCCTTGTGCTTAGTGAAGTGTTGAAGATAATTACACAAAGATTAAAAAATCTTTAAGAAATAATAAATTAAAATTATTTAGAATAATAATTATCACGGAATAAAGGAAGATAATATCAAGGGTTAAATATATCATGTTTCATTCACTTTAAAGCATACGTTATATGTAACATTAAATCATGGGTTATTCAAATCATGAAATAAATTTAAAGCTCTCTCTCTCTGTGTGTATTATATTCTGAAAGCATTATGGGTGCAATTCAAATTCTATTTATCATTGACTAATTAGGACAATTTTACTCTGGATTAACAATGTTGAAAAAAGCATGTTACAAGAATCTCGCAGCAGGTCTACTCAACAGTTTTAGTATAGATTTTGTTTACGATATAAATGTCACGTACACAAATGAACATTATTTTAAATACGAAAACTAATTAGATTATTATTTGCAATCCAACGTTTAAAGAATTTGTCAATTCAACAACAACATGTAATCACACATCTCTAGATGTAAAAAAAAACAAAATTATCTTTATAAATTTGAACTGTTTCTATAACTGTAAATGATAATAGTAAACATTCAGTATATAAATTGCAAACTTATTCATAATATCTATTATTTTCAGGATAAAAATAGTGTCTTAACAAAAACAAGCTTAGAGAAAAAAAACTTGATAACAGCGGAGGACGAAATCAGTAAAAAATCGCTGTAAGTGAATAGAACACACATTGCAGAATGCATCCAACTGCGTCACAGGACAAGACCTCAGCTGGATATCTTAAGGCCAGCGGAAAAGAGGAATGTCGAGGAAAATATTACACCGAGAAATGGAGACAGACATAAGGAGAATGAACAACAGTTAGATATAACTAAAAATGAAGGCTCAGGGTAGCGTAAGTTTGGAGAATGCTGGTTGGCCACCTGTGCTGCCTTGGGGGATTGTTAGAACCACAAAACCCACGTGATTAAGGTCTTAATTTTGGATTTTATGTTTTAGCGAATGGGCTGATCAGTTGACTTTAAGAGTACATTTCCCACTAGGAAAATTTCTTGACTATAATTGGTTGATGCGCTATTTTAGTACGCTATGTTTGTGGCTCTCCCAACGACGTTTCTATCACGTGTAAATAAACCGGATTTGTGTGCTTTTCGACCTTGATTTTCTGGACGCTTTTAGAATATACTTTTTATACCATATCAAGACTTCCTCGCCTACTTAGTGGGGCCTTGGGACAATTTAATTAGAATAGACTATTGTGTCACTGAATCATTTGTCATCGTTCTTGTTTACCAACTAAAGTGAACTCGTAATAGTTTCAAGCATATCAATGGACGAGCATAACACAGGTATAAGTAAGTCAGTAAGTAATCAACATACTTAACTATCATAAGTAATATGTTCATTGTTCAAAGTCAAATAATATACCACATGCTTCAGATATGAATATTAAAGCGAACTGTCAGTAGTATAGATAATCATCTAAATATATATATTCATATATTTTTATCCCTATATGTTATGCGTAATTATGTTGTCATTTTTTCGAACATTTACTCCTAAAATCCAATTGCCAACTATGAAATAAGCTGTTCTCATTGCATTCTTGTTACAATCTACTCTTATACAGATAATTCTGAAATATTCAAATGGGTAGAAACGATATTTTTCCTTATCCAAAATTAATAAAATTGTTTTAAAAATAGAATTTTATTTAACGAACGAATCTTAAAATCATCCGACTAAACTATTATCAACTCCGCCTGGAGCCATTCTGTGGCTACTGACAGTCTCAGGACCAGAAAAATTTGTGGGTTGGGTACGCGGGATTAGTGACCCCATCCCATAGAATACTATCTCGTTAAATTACTCTAAACAGAATTATAATTGAAACCATTAACCTAACTATTGATATTTCTTATCTCCAGTTATATTAACATTAATCTGATAAACATTTTGTCAAGTGAAATAGACTAGAAAAACGAATAAACGTCTAGGCAAGGAATACACTGTTTGGTTATTTGTTGAAAAAAATGTGGGACAAATTATCCCGTCAAATCTTTTTATCCATTGTTTTTTTTCAAAGAGACAATAACCTCCCTTGGTTTTTGGATACAATTAAGGAAAGCACCCAACTACGTCACAAAATAAGCCCTCATCTCGATATCTTAAGGCCAGCGGAAAAGAGGAAGGTTAAGGAAAAAAATTACACCGAGAAATGGAGACAGATATGAGGGGAAGGAACAACAGTTAGATATTACTAGAAAGGAAGGCTCAGGATAGAGTAGGTGGGAGAATGCTGGTTGGCAGCCAATGCTGCGTTGGGTGAGACAGGCTGTTGGGGACGTTAGGACCCTAGAACTCACCTAGGCTGATTAGTTGACCTGAAAAATCCCTGACTGTCATTGGTTGATGTTTTATTTTAGTACGCTGTGTTTGTGGCTCAGCCAGATACGTTTTTGTTATTTATAAATAAACTCAATTTGTGTGTTTCTCAACCTCATATTTTCTGGATGCTTATAGAATACACTTTCTACGCCTAATCAAGACTTCTTCCTCTACTTACTGGGGCATTGGAATGCTCGAATTAGAGTAGCCTATCATGTCACTCAATCATTTGTCATCGTTCTTGTTTACCGACTAAGGGGAACTCGTAATAACATATCAAGCATATTAACTGGTAACGAGCATAACAAGTAGTATTATCAGTAGTCGTATTATTTGATGAGAAATAAACCGAAGGCTTATTTCATTAATTTTCAAATGATCAGCAAAACGAAGTTTCTTCTGCTTCTTTCTCTCACATTTTCAATGAATAGCTTTTAATGTGGTGATTTTCCTTTATAGACTTGATTTTTTTGCCGACCAGAAAAAACGTAATTCAAACCATTAAACAAACCAAGGAAAAAATTATGCTGAGAAAAGGAAACAGATATGAGAATGATATGAACAACAGTTAGATATAACTAGAAAGGAAGGCTCAGGATAGAGTAGACTGGAGAATGCCTGTTGGCAGTCTAAGCTTTATTGGTGGTATCAGGCTGTTGGGGATGTTAGATACCCAGAAATCAGGTGATTAAGGTCTTGATTTCGGATTTTATTCATACGCTGATTAGTTGACTTTAAGATTTCATTCCCTGCCCGGAAAATTTTTTGACTGTCTTTGGTTGAAGTACTACTTTACTACGGTATGTTTGTGGCTCTCACAAGGACGTTTCTATTATTTATAAATAAGATCGATTTGTGTGCTCGCCAACCTCGATTTCCAGGGTGCTTATAGAATACACTTTCTATATCATATTAAGACTTCTTCATCTACTTACTGAGGCATTGAAATGCTCGAATTAGAGTAGCCTATCGTGTCACTGGAACATTTGTCATCGCTCCTGCTTACCTACTAAGTTGAACTATTGATATTTCTGATGTCCAGTTATTTTTTTACATTAATCTAATAAACATTTTGTTGTCAAATGGAAAAAAAGAATAAAATTTTGAACAGGGCAAATTTGGTTGTTTGATGAATTTTTTTGGAAAAAAAAATTGTGAAACAAATTATGCCGTCAAATCTTTTGATTTTTGTTAAAATAGACAGCAATAATCCCTTGACTTTTTTTTGTCCAATTACAAAAAAAGGGATAATCCATGAGGAACGTTTGATTAGAATGATGCTTTAATGAAAAAACAGCATTTTTTTAAATAACTTGTAAAATGTAACAAAATTTCAAGCAGAATTAGCTTTGACAATGCATAAAAAACGTTTTGTTTTTTTCTCTCAAAAAATGACTTCACTACATAATTTACTGTGTGAGTCAAGTTAAAATATATTACTCTTTATTTGACGATCAATAAAAACTTAATTTTCAACTGTGTTTAGCAAGTTTATCATTTAAAGTAAGCATTTTAAAGATATATACAATACTTCGTGGTGGAGTTCAGATCAACCGTGACGTTTGTGCTGATGAATATGATGTGATCAGCAGAAAAAGAACAACATTGACAGTTCCACAACTTAGAGAATCAAAACCTTATCGTGGGACAACCGAGTAAGCAATGCTGCCATTAGGAAACGAGTACTAGGTAAGGATGGCAGATAGATCAATAGATAAAGTAGTGAAACTTCATCAGTTGCGAGGGTTGGGACATGTGTTATGCGTATGCCTAACCACCGATTGCCTCGACAACCTATGTTTCGTGGTGTAGGAGTAGGTTGGAAGAAAACTAGAGGCGGCCAAACCAAAACATGACAGAAATTCATGAAGTCACTGAAAAATGGAGTGAGTGATGTTGGTAAATGTAGGCTACCTGGTTGGGGTCCGCGAGACGATAGTCACCAATGGTTAGAGACCTTGAACGACACAGCTCAAAATCGTTTGCAATGGTGCAAGCGCTTCCATTCGTTGTGCTCTCTCATATCCTAATCTTCTGGATTCGTCAGCACCTCGACCTTTGTCTTTCTAACCTTATCTCACTGAATTATACTTCTTGAATAATATGTTCGAACCCTAGTCTTCTTCATTACCATTAATACCTCTTCTATCTCTATCACTATGTGATTTGATTTGACATTTGCGTCTCTGTGTTAATATGATATGTCAGCATGAACTTATGTACATACGTACGAAGTTCTACATTGCAACTGACTGATCAAAACTCTATCCACTACAATCATCCCCTTTGACCTATAACTTCACCCCTCCCCCGTGTCCCAATGAATACTTTAAAATTTCAAAATCACAGCAATTTTAAATATCCCTCTCATAAAAAAGCACAAAAATGCAAATACACTTACTTGAAATCGATCGATTGCAATTGCTGTAATACTAAATGTCGACACGAATATATTAGTTCCTTGAAACATTGCAGAAAATTTACACATAAACTGACCGAATATCCAATTACGATTACCAGTCAACAAACGTAACAAATTAAATGGTTGTGTAATCAGGCATAAAGTTAAATCAGAAATAGCTAAATTCAGAATGAATAAATTTCCACGTGTACGCATTGAACGTTTCCTCAGTACAATGAATATCACAAGACTACTACCGAATGCACCAAATAATATCATACTTAAAAATAATAAAATTGTAACAATGAATAAAACCAATGGAATTTCTGATTGATTTTTCGATTCATTTACTTCTTCCCAATAAATACGTAATAATTCTTCACGTTTAGAACTATTCAATTGTTGTGTTGAAATATTTAAAAATGTATATAATCCCGAATAACATCCAGTTAATGTATCACACATGATTTGAGAAGGAAATTATTTCACAACATAAGTGATTGATTAGTTTATAAATGATAACTATAAAATATTTTGATCTAAATTGAAAGGTATTTTGAAAATAGATTAATTTTTTGAAAAAAAACCCAACTGAAATGAGCCTTATTTTTGATTGGTTGAAATATTTCTGGTATTTGATTGGTTTAGAAATTATTTAGATAGAATTATATATCTAACTTGATCAAATTCACGGAGTTGCACAACCTCATACACAGTCTTCGGTAGTAGTTACTGTCTACACCCTAACAGGTTGAACTTCACTGGTCACATCTTCCCACTAGAACTCGGAGAAGATTGCTCACGAAGCTAGTCACTAGTGAGCACAGGTAATTTGCACAACAGGGGTTGTGAAGATTGTTAAGTTACACATTTTTTGAAACCATGAATCGATCAATGTTAGACCACCATTAGAAACCTGGAAGCACTGGACGGCCGTTCCGTCCTGGTATGGGAATCCTCGGCAGTGAGGAATCTTCTCCGAGTTCTAGTGGGAAGATGTGACCAGTGAAGTTCAACCTGTTCGGGTGTAGGCAGTGTCTACCGAAGACTGTGTATGAGGTTGCGCAACTCCGTGAATTTGATCAAGTTAGACATGAACACCGCCAGATACCGGCTCAGTGGTCTAACGGTTAGGGCGTTCGCGCACAATACCGAAGGTCCTGGGTTCTAATCCTGCGGAGTGCAGGATTCGTGGATGCGCACTGCTGAGGAGTAACATACCAGGACGAAACGGCCGTCCAGTGCTTCCAGGTTTCTAATGGTAGTCTAGCATTGATCGATTTATGGTTTCAAAAATGTGTAACTTAACGATCTTCACAACCCGGTAATGAGAATTATATGTACATATATATATATGCTGTTCTAAGCTTCGAATTTTTATTTAGAAAATGTATAGATAGTGTGGAAGAATGTTCAAGTTAGACCAAAAGATTTCAAAAAAACGAAACAATCAGGACATTTTTTATATTTGTTTTACTGTTCTCATAGAGACAACAATGAAATGATAAGTAGAATATTACATTGTTGGACCATCATTAGAAACCTGGAAGCACTGGACGGTCGTTTCTTCCTGTTATGTGGCTCACCAGCAGTGTGTATTGACGGTTCATTTATGATCTTCATAGTAGTGTAATTCAAAATCAATATAATGTACTCACTAGTGATTAGGTTCGTTTTGAAAATTCTCAGAGTTCTAGTAAGAAAACGTGACTGATCGAGTGAAACAGTAACTATTGAAGACGATGGGTAAGGTTGCATATGAATTTTTAGATTGATTAGAGTTAGACATTAAAACCATTGGATGCCAGCATAGTGGTTCAGAGGTTAAGTGGTTACATGGAAGACCGGAGGTTCTGGGGTTGAACTTTGCGAGTAGCAGGAGTTGTGAATACGCACTGCTGATGAGTCGTCCCATACCAGGACGAAACGACTGTCTTTCAGGTTAAAAATGTTGGTCTAACGATGATTCATTTATTAATTCAATGTAAAACAACGATCTACATAAAACTATAATTCAAAAAGACTTATTTTTAACAGAATAATATTGTGCTAAGCTTCAAATTATGTTTAACAAATTGATAGATATTGTGTAGTAATGTTCATGTTAGACACAAGATCTCAATAATGAAACAATGAAGACATTATTTTTACTTGCTCTATTGTTCTATCAGATAAAAATGATCAAAAGATAAGCAGAATATATTTTGAGTTGAGAATTATTAGTGAAGTGTTAGATTGATAAATTTTATTAAGCTGTTCATATTTTGCTACATTGATTAATCTTGAAATAAATTTGGCGAAAAATAACTCTGAATAACTAGTTAACTCTCCAATATGTTGATGATCTGTTTATTAGGAATCAAAGTGAAACTCGCAAAACATTCTTGATGATAACGAAATTCTGTTTACCGTAAAAAAATAGATACATTTATTATTTCTGTGACAGAATGTTCCGCCTATCGTTTCCTTAACACTTAATTGTGTCGTCAAGTCTTAAAGATAAATGTCCACTTAGCTTTATACTTATCGATGAAGCATGTTATATTGGTCGAAGGTTCTGGGAATTTACACTCGCAGGATTCGAACCTGAGACCCTCGGTCTTGCGCGTGAACGCTTAACCTCTGGACCACCCATTGGTGTTATTGTTTGGCGCTAGTTAATCTAGAGATTTCGCAAGAACTAACACATTTGTCTTCAGTGGTTTCTGTCTACACCCAACAGATATGAACTCGATCGGTCGCGTCTTCTCAACAGAACTCCGAGAATCTCCTCTCACGAAGCTAGTCATGAATTAATCAGTGTGAGATCATAATTAGGAAGAAACCTGGAAGCACCAGATAGCTGTTTCAACCTGTTAGAAGAGTCATCGGCAGTGTGCTTGCATTCTCTCCACACGAGGGAATTGAATCAAGGACCTTTAAATGTGCGCGCAAACGCAAAGACCTATTGTGAAGAATATCATGTGCTCACTAATGATTAGTTTTGTGAAAAACTTCACGGAGTTGTAGTTAGAAGTGATCAATAGAGTTCAACTACGTTGGGTGTGAAGCAGTTACGCACCGATGACAATGAATGATAGCCTCATAATATCGTAGGTTGCGTTAACTTTGAAGTAAGGCTCACCACTTTAGTGGCACGAAACTTGATACCAGTTTTGAAGAATGATGCGATCAAATAAATCTTTCCTTCAGTATCCGTATATCATACTTAAGCAAACTCCCATTTATGTGATGGAGGTAATGAGAAGCCTAATACGTATTCAGTTGGATGAGTTCAGTTCATGCATTTATTCAAGCAAACAGACATGCGGATGAAAAGCGTACAAGCAAAGCGAAGTGAATTAGAGAAAGCAAATGAACCAACTCTATGCGATGAAGCATAACTCAGTAATAATAATAATAAGTTAGTAAGCATACTCACATGCAAACACAATCAAATATACAACAGTCGTCAAATTATTACAAACATGAAAAATCGTCGAAACAATTATCGAATAATTTAAACGACTAATCATTACTGCTAGTGCAGTAAATAAATAGTGAGTTGCTATAGATTGAAGTTAAACATTAACACCGCTGGATTCTGGCTCAATGGCCATGAGGTCAAGCATTCGTGCGCGAGGCCGAATATCTTGAATTCGATTCGTTCCTGCAGGAATCTTGGATGCGCACTAGTGATGAGACCTATATTAGAACGAAACGGCCTTCCAGTGCTTTCAAGTTTCTAATGACTGTCTAACAATGATCGATTCATGATTTCAATGAAACTTACCAATCTCCACAACCGTAAAACGAAACCCATTTAATTGTATAAAGAGTAAATACCTGATGCTTAATAATGATTATAATTAATAATTATATACATCCATGTAAATACTTAAGCCGATAAGAATTCATTGCTGTGAACTTGTCATTCTGACCGTTCAGCTTTCATTGCAAAATAGACACTGATGGTTGTAGTTAAGTTTTCTTAATAAAGTCCAAATAAAATTGACTGTAAATCATCAGAAAATCGTTGGTGTCTGATATTTACCTACATAAATGATGATTCAATTATGGATAGATATGTTTAGTTAGGACACCACGTAAATTAAGTACAGACATTTAGGCAAAGTGTTATGAATTTCTAGTTAGACGTTTTTCTACAAATTTGGTTTAAATCACTTGTGTTTTAAATTTAACAACACGAATGATACGCATGCACGTCAACACGTCAATTTGATATGCTTGAACTATTACGAGTTTACCTTAGTCAGTGAACAAGAGTGAGGTTCGAAGATCCGGCGAAACGACAAGCTGCTCTTATCCGATTGCACCAAACCCCCATTGAGTAAGAGAAGAAGACTTGATATGAAGTAGAACCTGTATTCTACAAGCATCCAGAAAGTAGGAGGTCCGAGGTCAGAAGAGAATCATTATCCCGGACTAGGGATCCGGGTTCGGGTCCTGAAACGTTACAGATAATGCGTATTTATACTGTTAGGTTGAATAGGTAACAACATTGAAGTCTTTGACAATGATAGCTAGGATGAACATAATGTTGACCAGCAGGAATCGACCAATAGAATTAGACTGACAAAAATAATTCTCGTAGGATATTTGATGAATATCCTAACAACGAATATTCTGCAAAATTCTCACGTCTATCTACATACTCAGTCGCTGCGCCTAGTGTGATGCTTTTCTGTTATTGATAACCTTGAATAATCAGCATACTTTACAAAATGACGCTGTCTTCGAGGACTTAATAACTATGTGTCTGTGTGCGTTTTTAACAAAATAATCAAAGTAAAAAAAAAGAAAGTTTGTGATGATTTTGATACCGGTTTTCATCTCCAACTCAAAATGCTAACCGCATAGATTGTATAGAAGCTTAGTGCAGAACTCGTTAGAGAAGCATGTTTTTTTCTTAGTTTCCAGAAAAAACTAGCCATTAGAAAACTCAAACTTTATTCCTATTCAACAAAAAAATAGTAGTTAATTCTTTTCAAATCTTAACTTTACCCTGATTATATCTATCTTACAAACCATTTTAATTCATGCAATCATGTGACATTGAAAATATTTTCATCAAATTCGATCATGCCTGTCTCATATTTCCAAACGATTATTATTACTTTGTAAATAATTTTTTTCTCTACAATGAATCTAATTCAACTCATCGCATTCACATGATGATTTTTTTTCGTTTATACATGTTTCTCGGATTTTTGCGAAATGTGTAGCAACCAAAAAAAAACGATTATCTGTCATCAAGTAGTACATACAGATTATGTAATCTGAGGTTAGTTTTGATTTCAGATTTATATAGAATATCAACTGACAAATCATTACGAAATAAGAAACGTTGAGCAACTATTCTATGCCGAATTAAAAAGTGTGATAGACATTCAACTTAGAGACTCAGTGTCTTATGGTAGTGATATAAACTAATTCCTGAAAGACTGTTGGGGATGTTAGATCCC